ACTTAGGGAGCAATACTACGCCCACTGAGAATACTGCAAGCCATCTCTTAGTGACACAGAAGTCACTGGAAGGTTTTGAGCATCAAAGTGAGGTCACTGACGTGTTTCCAAAGGATACCTCACTTGTGGCAGAGGCAGGCGAGGGTGGATGCAGAAAGACCAGTTAGAAGGCTATCATAAAAGGCATCTGAGAGATGACAACAGCTCAGACTAGGCCAGAGCAAAGTAGTAGTAACAAAACATTAGAAAAGACCCTCAGAAGTTTCAGAGAGCCCCAAAGGACACAGAAAAAAAAATTCAAAAATATTATGTTGGATAACTTAGCAGTAATTTTCAAAATTCTCAACAATCCTCCCAAAAAGTTACTTCATTATCCAATGCAATTTAAAAACTTTTAATTTTTGACAAACTTGGATTTGATTAAAAAAAAAAACCTTTACCATAGATAAGTGTATTTCTTGCCTAAGTTATATACTTCATCTTGGCTATTTCTGTGATAATTCAAATGTTACAATACTGTTAGGCATGTGGTAATGAATGCAACTCATCATTTTTTTAAGTGTGGAAATCAGCCTGGATTTAAGACTAGAATCTATAAATTCAGTGATTTTAAGCTCTGAGATTATAATTTCTTATGGTTTTTCTTGTTCATTTTAAAGATTTATTTATTTGAAAGACAGACTTAGATACAGAGGGAGAGACAAAGAGAGATCTTCCATCTGCTGGCTCACTCCCTAAATGGCCACAAAGGCTGGAACTGGGCCAATCCTAAACCAGAAGCCAGGAGCTTCTTCTGGGTCTTCCACATAGGTGCAGGGGCTCAGGTACTTGGGCCATCTTCCACTGCTTTCCCAGGCATGTTAGCAGGGAGCTGGACCAGAAGAGGAACAGCTGGGACTTGAACCAGTGTCTATATGGGATGCCAGTGCTGCAGGTGGTGTTGTAGTTGGGCGCTGATTTGAATCCCAGCTGCTCCACTTCCAACCCAACTCCCTGGTAATGTGCCTGGGAAGACAGCAGAGGATGGTTCAGCACTTGGGCCCCTACCCACTTATGTGGGAGGCCTGGATGGAGTTCCCGGCTCCTCTTTTTGGCCTGGCACAGGCCTGCCTGTTGTGGCCATTTGTGAATAAACCAGAGGATGGGAGATTTCTTGCTCTTATTCTCTGGTGTTTTGTCTTTCAAGTACATAAAAATAAATTTTTTTAAAAAGGTCTCAGAGGGACTGGCACTGTGGTGTAGTGAGTTAAAGCCCTAGTCTGTAATGCTGGCATCCCTTATGGGCACTGGTTTGAGTCCTGGCTGCTCCACTTCCTATCTAGCTCTCTGCCAAGGCCTGGAAAAGCAGAAGATGGCCCAAGTCCTTGGTACCCTGCACCCGCATGGGAGACCCAGAGGAAGCTCCTGGCTTCGGATAAGTGTAGCTCTGGCTGTTGTGGCCATCTGGGGAGTGAACCAGCAGATGGAAGACTCTCTCTCTGCTTCTCTGTAACTTTGCCTTTCAAAATAAATAAACATACACATTGTATGCTCAAAGTTACCTGTTGAATAAACTTAATACTTTAAATAGAGATGAGACTAAAACAATAGAGAATAGTGTTTCAAGATCTAAGGAAGGGGCAGCCTACAGAATGGGAAAAAATATTTGCAAATCATATATCTGATAAAAGTCTAGTATGCACAGTACATAAAGGCTCTTACAAGCCAAAAACAAAAAGACAACCCAAATAAAAAAATGGGCAAGGATTTGGCTGAATAATATTCTATTGTATGTATAAAGTACATTTATGCTTTAAAAAGGAAGGAAATCCTGTCCCCTGTTACAACATGGATGAACCCTGAGTACATTGTGCTAAATAGCAGGTCACAAAAAGACAATTACTGTATAAGGTATCTAAAGTAGTTAAATGCATGGATAGAGAAGGCAGAATGGTGGTAACAAGAAGCTGGGGAAAGTGGGAAATGGGGAGTTATTGCTGAATGGGTACAGATTTTCAGTCTTGCAAGATAAAAAGCTCTGAAGATCTGTTAAACAATATGAATATATTTAACACTATTGAACACCTAAACGTGCTTCTACTTTTTTTTTTAACTAAACACACACACAAGAAAGGTAAGACACTACTTAATATAAGGCTACACATCCACTGGAACAACAAAAATTCCAAGTAAAAGATAATGGCTCTGTCTGGGGAGGAAAGGAAAGGACAGGACTACAAAAGCATCTCAATATTACCTGTAATATATTTCATAGCCCTTGTTAATGATCCATTCCTGAATACAGAAATGAAATATCATGGTAAAGGATTACTAATTAGATGCTCAGGTAGTATTTGACTTTGAAGTTATTCATAAAATTTTAATTTCTCTTTGAATGTTAAATGAAACAGCATAATAAATACCAGTCATAAAAGTTAGAGAGGGTGCATTTAATTATGGTATTCTTCTGTAGTTACTATTTATATGTGTGTAGCCTTTGTTGTCTTACACTCTGAAGTTTTCATTGAGTGGGGTATCATCTGGATTTTGGCTCCAGTTTTGCCATCTGTGTGACCTTGAGTAAATAATTTCTCTAAGCTTAGGTACTGCTATCTTCACATTTTAATGTACATATAAAGATGAAGATAACTGTCTATCCTTTCTAGAGTGAAATTATGAGAATAAACAGAGTAATATGTAAAAGAACACTGAAATACTAAGCTCTGGAAGTTTACATTAACTTTAGAGATTTCCTCCTTTCTAAGTATCTCTTCATTTTCATGTGCCTTTCTTCTGAATATCATATGCTACTCTAAGAGATTAAAAGTTACACTGCCTTATCTCTAGTTCCATATTTGCTGCATTGTATATTTCAATTAAAATGGTCAAAAGGGTTTTTTTTTTTTGGTTGTTCTTTTTTGCTTTTTGCCTTGACTAAGGCTAGGAATGAGGGAGTAAGGGATACTAGGAAATAGCTAGAGAAGAATTTCCCTCCCTTCTCATTCATTCTCTTTCAACTTCCCCAGCTAGAGTTCACTGGAAATATAGTTTAGGTTAGAGAGGGCAGAGGGATACAAAATGAAATGGGAGGTTAACATTAGAATCTCAGGAATGATGTGAATCCTTACCTGTAGTTTTATGAAAGTACACCAGGGATGAAAGTTCTGTGACTCAATGGTTTATGCAGCAAACAGGAAACTCAGGACCAGTAGATTCTGTCCCTTGGTCTAACATTTGCTTCTCTACAAGTGAGCTAATCATGTTCACTTCCTGTGTTTTAGTCTATTAAGTTTTTTGTCTATTAATGAAGGCGGTGATACCAAATTAATTCCCAGGGTTAGGGTTGGGGAAAAAAACTCACAAAGAGCTATAATGCTGTGAAAGTAACAACACAAAGGGATCTTTTATTAGAGAATGTAAAAATATGCCAAATATTAAAATTTCTCCACATATAACAACAATATTATTTTTATCTGAGCTAAGGGGCAAAGGGACACTTGAACATGAAACAAGTAGATAATTCTGAAACCTCTTTCCAATAATTAGGTTTCTTTAAAAATGTATTTATTTGAAAGGCAGAGCAAAAGAGAAAAGTGGGGAGGGAAAAAGAGATCATGCATCCATTGGTTTACTCCCCAAATGACCTCAATAGCTGAGGCTGAGCCAGGCACAGCAAGGAACTAGGAATTTATCATGTTCTCCCATTTGAGTACCTGGACCACTACCTGCTGCTTCCCAGGCACACTGGAGGAATCTGAATGGGATGCGGAGCAGGCGGGGACTTGAATGAGCACTCCAATATGGACCTTTGGGCCGTAAGCTTAACAGGCTACACCACGATACCAGCCCCCTAAGTTTTTCTGAAGTCTCTTACCTCCACCCATATCCTTGTATTTGTACCTCTATGGCATTAGTATCAGGTTTTGTTGCTTTACTTAGTGGCTTTGGATAGCTCATATTGGCTTCTGAAATCCCACATTCCACTCTCTCCCCTTATTAAGTCATTATTTGTCCAAAAGTGCTAGATGAATATTTTTCCAATTTTACTTCTACCTTCAGAAATCTCTGGTGGCTACCACTGCCCGTATCAAGTTCATAGGCTTAACAAGGCAGTTAACACTCCTGAATCCAGTCTACTTTAGAGCCTTCGCATCTATAAAAAAGTTCTACTTCAAATTTCTGCATTGCTGTCTTTATACTTTTGTTTCAGCCTTTCCATTACCTGGGCATTCTCCTTGCTGCTCAAACCTAATTTCACTCACCCTGCAACGTCTACCTCTAATCACCTTATCTTCTGACAGCCTGTCCATGATTCTCCTCAGAATTGTTAAGACTACTCATCACTCATCTGGAATTTATTAACTTAAAGTAGCCAAGAGTTTATTGCTTTTCCTGTCTCCTAAATTACACTGTACTTTCCTTAGAAGGATCCATTCCTAAAACATTTGTGTATCTCTCACATACAGAGCATAACCCCTTAAATCTTCAAAAACAAGATCTGTCAATTGAAAAAAATACCTAAATGTATTTTAAAGACAAAACACTAGCTATGTACCACGGAAAATATTGCTAAGCCTTTCCAAGAGTTGAAATTCTGGGAGGTACTTTACTTTTCCCTAACTTGCTGCAGATACCAAAGGTAGCTGCTAAGAACTCAAGAAACCCTCAGGTGTTGAAGGAGAGGCTTACTAATAAAAGGAAAAGTAAAAAAAGACTTTATGTCTGCATTAACACCAGTCAAAACGGGACTCAATGTCCCCAACAAGTAACATCTCCCACCAGACTTTCACAGTTTGTCCAGCATATTTACCAACTACAGCCTGGTTTGTTCATTCTTAAACCATATCAAACTTGGAAGCAGGAGTGGCCTGGCCTTTAAGATACCACTTGAAACGCCCAGCATCCCACTTCAGAGTGACTGGGTTCAAGCTCTGGCTCTACTCCCCTTTCCTGCTTCATGCTAATGCACACCCTGGGAGGCAGCAGGTGATGGCTCAAACACATGGGTCTCTGCTACCTACCTGGGAAATGCAGACTGATCCCAGCTCATGGTTTCTGCCTGGTCCAGCCTCAGCAGTTTTAGGCATTTGAGGAACAAACCAGTAGATGGGAGATCTGTCTCTCTGCCTTTAAAATTAAAAAATAAGCAAATAACATTTGAAAGTGGAAGTAGGGGCACAAGCCCCTTCGGCCTAGTGGTTGGGACTCAGACTGGGACGCCTGCATCACACATAATACCTGGGTTTGAGTCCCGGCTCTGGCTCCGGACTCTAACTTCCTGCTAATGTATAATGCAGCTCCTGGGAGGCAGCCTGGTGGCTCAAGTAATCAGGCTCCTGCCACCCATGTGGGAGACCTGGATTGAGTTCCCAGCTCCTGGCTTTGGTCAGACCCTGACGTGGCTGTTGGGAGCATCTGGGGAACGAACCAGTGGAGGAACGAAGGTGTTTCTCCTGTTACAAAAAGAACAGTGGAGGCACTCCTAATTGTCTACCCATTTCTTTGCCTTTGGTCTAATTTCTCTCTCCATTCTAGGGGCAAACAGGTATCTACAGCCAACGACACTGGTAGAGGATTTAGCCTAGATTCTGACTTTTTCTTATATCCAATGAAATTGACTCTTGGTATCTGGTTAAACGAAAGTCACCTTAGAAATTAAACTATTCCTCTAAGTGAATTTTCCAAATACAGAACCAAACTCTTTTCATGCACACTCAGTTTAAAATGGACAGGAAAAGACGAGGGCACATTTGGAGGGCCACGTTTCCATGAGGAGGGCCCTGGCAAGCATCAGCTGCGTTATTTTAAATAGAAACATATTCCTTTAGAAAGAGCAACACACCCATCTTCTTCAAGGTTTTCGTTAAATTCCATGGTGCTACTCAGCATTCATCTAGCAAAAGCGTGGTAACCCAGATATGGTTTAAACCAAAACTCCTTGACCAGTTTGCTTCGCAAAAACGCGTTCTTTGTGCGGATAAGCGGCCAACGTCCACGCATCAAATCCTTCGCTTCTGTCATACCACCAATCTACGCTCCTTAGTGAGGGGCAGTGTGGTGTTGTAGTGAAAGCAAAAGGACTTCAGGTCTACTTATGGTCTGCTAAGGAGCTGCCGGGGGGACCCTAGGCAAATCACTTTATTTCTAAGAGGAGGCGCTAGACCCAGAATCACAAAGTCGTGTAAATAAATAAAGTCCGTTCCCCGGAGTCTATCGTTCAGTTCTGGAGTGCTGACTCCACAGGCAGGAGGACGAATTCCCTTCAGTTCATGAATCACTGAGCCCCTAGCAAGTATTCGGTACGTGAAGCACACTCCGGACTTCAGGCGTTCACTCACCTCAGCTTATACGGATTTGCAAAGACAAAGTCTTTTCACCCAAGAAGCGTTTCGCTTCTCTCAGCCGTAGCCATGCCTTAAAGAGCCAAAGCCTAAGTGCCGTCCACTCGCCACACGCCAACGCCAAGACCAGCGCCTACTAGCCAGCCGGGAACCGGGCGGCTGCACTACTACAGTTCCCAGCATGCCTCTCTTCCCACTCCCGCCCGCCCCGCCCCGCTCCCAGACTCGCAGAGACTGGGACTTGTAGTCCCAGCCCCCGGCAGGCGGCCGCCCTACAGCACTCTCGAAATACGCTTTTCTTTCCCGGTAGGCGGTGAGACCGCCAAGTTCCAACTGAAGTCTTACTCCAACGGATTAGGGTTTGCTCTGCTCAGCGTCGTATTCCCGCCTCCAGAGGAACCAATTCCTATCTCCAGTCCTGAAAGCTCCCGAGTGGGCCACGCCCCGGAAGTGAAGTCAGGCTGCCCAGGCCGCCGAGGTGCCTCCCAAGCCAATCCGAGCCGGGACTGCGGCTGGCGGGGCGGGCTGAAGGGGGTGGCCCGGGGCTGACGAGCGGGGGCGGATCGGCGCGGCGTCGCGCTTGGGGCGGAGCCGCTTCACGGGGCCGCGCGTCTGTGTGGCGGCGGGGGCGCGCCCGTTGGGAGAGGCGGCTTGTGGCTGCAAGTGGGGGGTGGGGGGAGGAAGAACCGGGAAGGGGGGGCAGGGCGAGCGGAGAGCCGTGTTCCTGAGGCGGCGGCGGCGGCGTCTCGGACAGAGGAGGAGGAGGAGGAGGGCGGGGAAGGAGGATGGAGCAAGCTGGGGGTGGGGGTTGGCGCTAGCCGCAGCGGCTCGCCTCGTACTGTCGGAGAGCGGCGGCTGCTCCTGGAAGTTGTGGTGTCGGGAGCCGGGCCGGGGCCGGTGCCGCCTCAGCCACCGCCTTAGGCGGTGGGGAGGAGGAGGGAGCGGCGGGGTTGGGCGGGGGTCGGGCGGGGAGGGATCGGCAGGGGGAGCGAGCTGGGGAAGACGGAGCGGGCTCTGCGCCGGGCGGGCGGGCGGCGGGGGGGCCAGCGACCGCAGCCGGGGGGACGCGGGAGGATGGAGCAAGTGGAGATCCTGAGGAAATTCATCCAGAGGGTCCAGGCCATGAAGAGTCCGGACCACAATGGGGAGGACAACTTCGCCCGGGACTTCATGGTGAGTCTCTCCAGCTCGCTGTCGCCTCCCCTCGCCGGCACCCGAGCCCCCCGCCGGCTCTCCCAGCCGGCCCGCGGGCGCTTTGTGTGCGGCGGTGAGGTGCGCGGCGGGAGGGGGCGCGCACCCGCGCCGAGGGCCGGGTGGTCCCGCGGGCCGGCGCGGGCTGGAGGTCGCCTCCGCCCCTCGGCCTCCTTTCTGCTCCCGATTTTTGCAGCCCCTTGCTGCGGGCGCCCAGGGCGTTAAGGGCGCGGCCCCGGGGCCAAGCTCTCAGCCTGCACCGCCCCCCGCGACCACCTATTGTTTCTCGGGCCAGGAGCCCGAGGCGGGTGCGGTGCAGGCCGGGGTGGAGGGCTCGCCTTTGCACACCTCTGGCCCTTCTGAAGGGGCGAGGCAGCGTGTCTGGCTGCGGGCAGGGGCGCAGTGCATCGCGGCTGACGGGGGTTCGGGGGTGCAAAGGTTGGCATTCGCTCGTGGTGTCCCCTTGCCCAAGCCGGTCTCCCAAGGCAGCAAGGTAGGACCTCTGCCTGTTTCGGGGTTCGCAGTTACCTCCAGCGTTTGGCCAAGGCTTGTCGTTAAGGAGTCTCACGGTTCACCTCTTTTGCATTGAACCTCGTCCGTCCGGTCCCGTCTCCTGTCCTGGGACCCACGTTTTCAGGTGGTCTTGGGGTCAGAGTGACTTGAGGTTGAAGGGCGAAAGCGTGGGTAGGGGGATCTGCCTAAGGAAGCCTATTTTGGACTCCCCAGGGAACACTGGCGCAGGCGGAGGGGATGTGACTATCACTTCCTATCCGGGGTGGGGGTGGGGAACTTGGGAACAATAGTCCTGGTGGGGCGGAGGCGACGCACGGCCGGAGCCCTGAACCGGGAGATAACCTTCCCGCCTCCCTTTCCCCCTCACTTTCCGCCCTCTGCTAGTGCAGACCGGCTCGAGAGGAGGCGAGGGTTAAAAGGCTGGTTGGTGAAATTGCCCTAGATAGACCCCGGTGAGGGGGTCAGATTGCAAGGCGTGGGACCAGAAGTCGACTTCCTTACATTACCCCCTCCCCGCCCCTTTTATTTTTCTGCTGGACAATGTTCCCTCTAGGGTTGTTTCCCGGCTTAGGAGGCGGTGGTTGTGGCGGCTGCTCCTACGGATATTGCGCAAGACCAGGGCGTTGGAAACCGTGGAGGTCTCTGGAATGGAAAAGGAAGTGGGACTTTGGGAAGTGGTTTGCTCCCTTAGCCTTGGCGGGGGTTGGGAATGGGAAATCAGGGAGGGAAATTTTTGCTCCTGGGGGATTAAGGTACTCCTCCGAGAATAATGACTTCACTGCGAAATGCGCTTGGGAGATACACAGTTAAATGTCTGTAAAAATGAATGGGGAGCAGACTGGCTGGTTTTTGTTTCGAAGCGCGTTCGTTTTTAAGGTGCAGGTGAAATGGTTTTTAGTACTGAAATACTTTTCCACCTTCTAAAGAGGCTTTGGTAAAGCTTGAGTGTTAAAGGGGTTAACAACTTAGGTAGGTCCCTGGCCTTACACAATATTGTCTTATTAATGAGCTTTGAGAGACCCACCTCCCCAGACCAGTCATAGAGGACAGGGGTTAAGGTTTTGTTGGTATTTTTTGAAGACTTGAAGCTACAGATTAAGCAGTCTCTTTCTTATAATAAGCATTTCTCGTGATATTTGGTCTATGTATGTATTTCTGAAGCAGTGCTTTGTGAGAATTTCATTGTGTTGGTATCTTTCGAATGGTGTTGTTTACAATAATTGGATGGAGCCCCTTGTTTTACTGCTCTGTAGCGAAAGTTAAAATTTTTCCTTTGGGTGTTTAAAATATTTAAAACTTGTTTTATTCAGTTATTGGAGAACTTGGCTATGGTAGAACAGGTGGAATGGTCCCTGGCTAATTTTTGCTTGCATGTTACTCATCTCGTTATCCTTGGGCACATTGTGTGAGGAAGGAGCCTCGTGTTGTGATGTAGGCCCTCTGAGCAGGTGCTGAACTCCTGCACAGGGGAAGCAGCCGGAGGGCTCATGCTTTGGGGATGAGTCAGGAATTCCTAGGGTAGATTTTTGTTCTTAAGGACTACCTGGGTTTCCTTTTTCTTCCGTAATACACATATAGCTAGGTGATGTTGCATTGGAGATTTGATGACTAAGGCTGTTCTTTTATGGTGCTTATTTTTTTAAATTTCCTGGCTTGATAAGCAGTAGCTATAATTAAGACTGCTGGTAGCTGGTACTTTTTCCCTTGATGGAATGCTGAGGAACTGTGTCTCTGTCATGGAAAGAGAATAGATTAGCTGATGGATTTCTTTCTTTCTTTCTTTTTTTTTTTTTTTTTTGACAGGCAGAGTGGACAGTGAGAGAGACAGAGAGAAAGGTCTTCCTTTTGCCATTGGTTCACCGTGCAATGGCCGCCGCAGCCAGCGCACCACGCTGATCCGATGGCAGGAGCCAGGTACCTATCCTGGTCTCCCATGGGGTGCAGGGCCCAAGCACTTGGGCCATCCTCCACTGCACTCCCTGGCCACAGCAGAGAGCTGGCCTGGAAGAGGGGCAACCGGGACAGAATCCGGCGCCCCGACCAGGACTAGAACCTGGGGTGCCGGCGCTGCAAGGCGGAGGATTAGCCTAGTGAGCTGCGACACCGGCCGGATTTGTTTCTTAAATTCTGATATGGGAGGCCCGGAAGAAGCTCTTGGCTCCTGATTTTGGATGGGCCCAGCTCCTGCTGTTGCGGCCATTTGGGGAGTGAACCAGCAGATGGAAGACCTTTCTCTCTGTCTCTCCCTCTCACTGTCTGTTACCCCACTGCTCAAATAAATAAATAAATAATTTTTTAAGAAATGCCTTACACTTAGAAAGGTGAAATGGGCATTCAAACTTGTCTGACAGCAAGCATGGTCCTTTGTCCATATTTTATATGGCCTTCTGTTATCTCTGTTAATGTTTTTAATGCTTCTGTGTCACCCTAACTACATATACCATTTTGTATTCCTTTTTAAGTTTTTTGAAATGACTTTGTCTTTACTCATTTTATTTATTTGAGAGAGAACTCCCATCCTCTGGTTCACTCACCTAATGCCCACAGCAGCCCAGGGCTGTCTCCCACAGGGGTGACAGGGATCTGACTACTTCAGCCATTGCTTGCTGCCCCCCAGGATGGGGGGAATGGGAATTGGGAATGGAACCAAGATTTGAACCTACGCTGTCTGCTATGAGAATTTGGGGTACCAAGTGATGTTTTAACAATTAGGCCAAACATACACCTTCCTGGTTTTTTAACTTTACAAATTTTTTTAAAGATTTATTTATTTGTTTGAAAGGTAGAGTTGCAGAGAGGCAGAGGTAGAGGCAGAAGTGAGATAGAGCAAGGTCTTCCATTCGCTGGTTCACTCCCCAATTGGCCACAACAGCTGGAGCTGTGCCGATTGAAGCCAGGAGCCAGGAGCTTCTTCCAGGTCTCCCACACGGGTGCAGGGGCCCAGGACTTAGGCCATCTTCTACTGCTTTCCCAGGCCATAGCAGAGAACTGGATCTAACCGGTGCCCATATGGGATGCCGGCACTGCAGGCAGGCAGCATTACCTGCTATGCCATAATGCTAGCCCCTTAACTTTACATTTTTATAAGAGCTTTTTTATTATTATTACAACAGCTTTGTAACAATAATTTTAGGTGGCTGTGTAATGTTTTACCTGATGACTTATCTTATAGCATAACCATTTCCCTAGGGTTGAACGTTTAATCCATTCTATTTTCTGCTGTTGTATATAATTCTGTGATTAACACTCATAAAATGCCTGTTTTTATTATTACATATCTTTCCAGTAGTAGAGATGTGAAATAATTCAATACAAGTTCATAAATAACTCTTTTTTACAGATTTATTTATTTGAAAGAGCATTTCAGAGAGAAAGGGAGAGAGAGATTATCCATCCTCTGGTTCACTCCCCAAACGGCCAGGGCTGCTCTAGGCTAGTTCTGGGAGCCTGGAACTCCAATCGAGTGTCCTGTGTGGGTGGAGGGGTCAAAGATGTGGGCTGTCTTGCACTACTTTCCCAGATGAATTAGCAGGGAGCTGGATGGGAAGTGGACTAGCCAGGACACGAACCCACATCCATATAGGTTGCTGGCGTTGTAGGCAGTAGCTTAACTGGCCATGCCATAACACTGGTCCCCTATAAATAACTTTCTTGAAAAAGTTCTCAGTTTATATAACTGTCAGTAATGTATGCATGTTCATATAGTTATCCAGTCTTCATCTTAATTTCTGATTACCATTAAATATAGACACTTGTCCAGCTGTCATTCTGTGGGTTGTCTATGCTTGGCCTTGGCCTGTTATGCCCTCTTCTTAAAGAGAAAGAAATTAAGGTACTGCGATTGTGTAAACTATGGCTCCCAGATTGTTACCTGTTGAAAACATGCTGATTTTGCTAATAACCAAATTAGCAAGCAAACAATTTGTGTAAGGTTTAGAACTTGGTCTAAGCTATGTTGACTTTTAGTCTTTACAAGGTTAGTGGACTACAGTCATGATAAGTAAGTTTACAAGGTAGCGTGATACACATTCATGATTGACAGGTTTAGGTTTTACTCTATACAGATCCCTTGAAATGGTGGGAAGGTCTCTTGATCATGCTTTGAGAGGTAGTGAGGCAGCACTTGTACACGGTAAAAGCGAAGGGTGATGCTGGGATAGGTAGGGGTTGGATTTTAAAGGGTCTTACAGCTACGCTATATTTAGATTTTATTCTATAGACCAATAATAGTACTTGTGGGCAGTTCTGCACTGCAACTCTTAAGTCACAGGGCAAGTGAGGAGGTGTTCAGAAAACAGACGTGCTGACCTGACACGTCAGCAGTGTTTCCCCATTCCCCTCCCCTAGCCTGCTCCTGAAGATTACTGTGAGTCTTCGCTTAGGATCACTCAGATAGATTTCTGTTAAAAAAAAATCTCAGCGTCACTGCTCTGCTTCTTGGGAGAAGCAGAGAAAGTTTGAGAAAGTTGATTCTGATGACAGTATGAAAGATGACACTTAGGAATCTGTTAAAAAATGTGGTATGTGAGACCCTGAATTGAACTAAGACAAGGGGAACACAGAGTATACAGTGGATCTGATAAGGATTAAGAAAGACATCTCAGTGATTCACTACACATGAGTTACAAAGGAGAAAAAAGTTCAGTGGTGTAACATCTTGATTTGTGTTACAGATACCAGATAGTGCTATCATTATCACCCAAGCTTTAGAAGAGGTACCATATGGTAGGGAAAGGGATAAATGAGGAAAAACAAGTAAAGGGGACCAAACAAGATTATGGGAAGAGGTGGCAGATACTTGACCCAGCAGTTAAAGAAGCCTTCATCCCTTGCCAGAGTTACCTGGGTTCAATTCCGGTTCCTAACAACAGCTTCTTGTGAATGTGGATCTTGGG